AATCCTCACTTGAGGATATTTTTCTATTGACTTTTTTTAGATACAGTGGAAGGGAGGGAGGGACAAAGAGAAACAGAGAAAAACATTGATGTGAGAGAGACACATGGATTGATTGCCTCCCACAAGACCCTAACAGGGTCTGGGAATCAAACCTGCAACCCAGGTACGTGACCTTCTCCACCACCTCTCTTTTCCTTTAAATCCATAATTAAGAGGGGTTCTGATTCCCATCAACATTTCCAACATGTCCGTGCCTTAGAACCTAGAGTTACTTCTGCATGTGGCAATGAGTTTTCACTAAAAACAAAACAAACAAAAAGCTCTTACCTCATTCAGGTCTCTACATAAATAAGATTCTTCCAAAGTCGATTTTCCTGATCACCATGCAAAAGATTGCCTCACTTAACCTGTCACACTATTTTCTTACACTGCCATCTTTTATTTCTTAGCACTCATCACCAGGGAATATTAACTATATTCATGTCTATCTCCCTATCTCTATCACTCTATCTGTATTTATACTTACATTTCTATCTACACACTAACTATTTTAAAACCTATTCCTCTTACTCTTCTCTTCCCCATGGGATATTATTCTTGTGAATTAGGGTCTCTCTATTTTGTTCACTGAGTTTCTCTAGAACATGCAACAGAGTGCCTGGTGCATCATAAAAAATAATCAGTGAAGATTTGTTAAAAGAATAACTGATTGAATGTGCTAACTTTGTGAGAAGTCATTAGAATCTATTAAACCACTTGTAGTGTGCTTGTGATGTATATTTCCTGACCATGTAAAATATGTATGTATGAATTCTCAAATAGGAATTACCATGTACACCTATGTTCATAGCAGCACTATTTACAATAGCTAAGATCTGGAAACACCCAAGTGTCCATCAGTAGGTGAGTAGATAAAAAAAGCAGTGGTACATGTACACAATGGAATGCTATGCAGCTATAAGAAAGAAAGATCTCTTATCATTTGAGATGACATGGAGGGACCTGGAGAGTATTATGCTAAGCAAAATAAGCCAAACAGAGAAAGACAAATATCACATGATCTCACTTATTTGTGGAATATAATGAACTAAACTAAATAATGAACAAAATTGACCCAGAGGCATGGAAGTAGGGTACAGACTGACAAACCCCAGAAGAGGGTGTGTTGGGGGGGGAGATAAACCACATAACTTATAGGCATGTATGCATAACCAATGGTCATAGACGACAAAATTAGGGAAGGGGCAGTGGAGATGGGGAAGAGGGTGTCAATGAGGGAAAAAGGAGAAACATCTGTAACAAAAACAAATTAATAAAAATAATTTTCAAAAAACTAGAGATTACCAAAGCAAACACTAAGCCTTTTATTTGTGTTTTCAACATAGATTGAATTAAAAAATATTGAATAGTTTAATTCATGTAAGGAACATTCTCAACAAGTTTTTTATTCAGAATTTTATGGCGATATAAATGTTTATTGGCAAAAAATTAAGATCTCATTGTATTATGAATTAATCTACTACACAGAATTAATTTTCAAACACATTTTAACATACACCTCTATGTATACTAAAAATCATATCCACATTTCTTCTCACGTGAGCTGTAACTCAGTTATTTAGGTGTTTTAGTGACACTTTTTTTAGTTTGCAGTTTATATTATATGGGCTTCTCCTAATTCTTTCATCAGCATAGTAATATAACTCCAAATAAGAAATTACCCTGTTCCTTGTTCAATCGTGTTTATGTGTATAGATACATGTGTCAAGCAATCATTTAAAAGAAAATATATATGATATATATATACAAACAGGGTGAGGCAAAAAGGGTTATAGTTGTAAGTACACAAAACACAAAATTTATTCTTGCATTATTATTTATTAAATATTGTATTATTTTCCATACAAACAACTGTGTGAGGCCATCTTTTGGAGGTTTCCATGCTCCCGGCAATTAGTTGTCTTCTTAATGCAGGGGTCTGCGTGAGTGTTTTGCATGAGTTTGATGGAAGTTGTAGAACGGCCAGAAAAAAAAACAAGCTCGTATAATGGTGTTTAATTTTAGTCTTGTAAACACCTATAGAGGTACCTCTAAGCACAATTGAATAACTTTTATTGATAAGTGCCAAACCAGAGTTAATCTTTGCTATAACTGAGCAGACAATCATTTTTGAAACTATGGATGAAACTGGAGAAATATACTGCAGTGCAGTTATTCTTGCCGTCCAGTGGTCCTCAGTGTGGAATTGAATGACGTATATTTGCTGCTTCAAAGGCTTATGGGAATATTTCTTAATTTGCTCCTTTAATACTTGAGCGTTAAAGATAAAAATAAATAACAAAGAATTTAATACTACTTTTGAGAAAATATTTTTCTGCAATACTTGGTGAAGGTTCATATTTACATTCAATCCAAACTCTAAAAGAGAAGATATTATCTTATTTATTTTTGTATTCCCCATTGAGTATATGGTGATAGTTAGGTAAAAATTTATTAAATTTGTTACTAAGTCTTTTCTAGAAAATATAATAACATTTTTTAAATATATCCTCTGAGTAAATCAATCCAAAGCCTTTCAACTACAATATCATATATAAAATTGAGCATTATTTAATATTTGTAGAGTTTGCCCCTACAATAGATGTGTGATAAAGTGATAAAGAAGATCTAAGTGGATTAATTTTCTGGGAGAAAAATCACTTCTCAGAAGGTGGGCAGAAAGGAATTTATTGATGCCGCTGTTCATTCCTACAGCATTAAGAAAGTCATGGCTCATTGAATCTTTAGCACAGGTTCTCAATGCCGATTTGTCAAATAATCATTAATGATGGTGCAAATATTGATGAAGATGATGGATGATAGGGGGCAATATCAGTTACAGCTCTTGACATCTTAGAAATATTTGTCTATTTTTCCTTCTAGAAGCTTCCTTTCTTGAGAAAGGCTGTTGTAATAAAGCACACTTTTCATCTGTTGATATAGCTAAAATTTACCAAAGCTTCTTAAGATAATGTATTTAGTATTGAAATGTCTACCAAAATTATTGTTTCTTACTTTTATCGCAACCCTACCGTTTTATTATTAAAAACAAAAAACAAGTAAAAGTGAAGGGAAGACTTGGATTTTAGAGTTAATCTTTAAGGTTTAGTTTGTTCATATATTGTACTACCTTAAAGAAAAAGCCTGAATGAGTAACCAAATGGAAAAGTGCAATCCTATATTCTCCAAACTGAGCAGTTACTTTGGATTCCTCCAAGAAGTGAAGGGTTAGCTGCCCATCTTTGTACACACATATCACTCCCTTTAGGCTCAGTAGAGATTTTCTTCCTTCATTAGCAGCATGTTTATTTTGTTTACATGTGAATATATAGATAGACACACACACACACACACATACACACACACATATAGATAGATAGATGATAGATAGATGATAGATGATAGATAGATAGATAGATAGATAGATAGATAGATAGATAGATAGATATAGATATTCACTTTGTTCTCAACTCAGAATAGTAGCACTGTACAGGACATTAAGAACAGGTACCCACTTAAAAGTGGTTTGAGCCCAGCTGGTGTGGCTTAGTGGTTGAGCGTTGAGCCATGCACCAAGAGGACACTGGTTCGATTCCCCGTCAGGGCACATGTCAAAGTTGTGGGCCTGATCCCCAGTGGGGGGCATGCAGAATGTGGCCAGTCGATGTTCTCTCTCATTGATGTTTCTATCTCTCTCTCCTTCTCCTTTTCTCTATCCCTAAAAATCAATGAAGAAAAAAAAAATTTTTTTAAGTGGTTTGAGTCAGAGACCAAAGGGATGCTTACTAGAAAGGAAGGAATGGATAATATTGTGATAAGTTTACACAATGACATACAATTACTAGACTTAGTAGAGTAATGACATTAAAAGGTATAAAAATGTCAAATAACTATTCTGTACATTTGAAACTAAAATAACCAACACAAGATTGCATAACAACTATACTTAATAAAAAGTCAAAAAGAGTTCTTAAAGACTCAACTATGGCTATGAATATAATATAAAAATACACACAAAAAAATCTCCCTTTAGCTACTCTTAGTAAGTAAGTTATATGACCAAATATAAAAAAAAAAATGAGAAATGCTACAGATAGTTAGGATTGTCTTTAATGTCCTCTATGTCAATGAGCCCTTGGGTTCATTCAGTCTGGAGGCACAAAGGTGCTCTTGTAGCTATAATTGCAATTATTTTCAGTTCCTCGATTTCTAAAATATTGTCCTAATTAAAGGCTTCTTAATGCTAGTATGCAATTGTTGATTTTTAAATTGCAATTGCAAATTACTTACACCCTCCAAAGTTCAATAAGCCTTTAAACCTTTTAGCTTTTCTATTGATATCCTAATCATGAAATTAAAGCATCTGTAGTAAGCAGAAGAGCTAATGTAAGCAGTGTCATGTTCTCTATGGTGTATGAATCAATGAAATTATCATGATGACTTTTAGTTCGATGATATAGCTACTGGAAATGGATACAGCTATCATGTGATCTTACTTATATGTGGAATCTAATGAACAAACTGACAAAATAAATCCAGAGACATGGAATGAGGGAACAGACTGAGGAACGTCAGAGAGAAGGGGGAGAGGGGTGGAAATGATAAACCAAAGAACTTACATGAATATATGCATAACCAAGGATACAGACAATAGTGTGGTGAAGGCGGGAGGGGGGTAAGGAACAGGGAAGAGGGGGTCAATGGGGGGGGAGTGGGAGAATCTTAATGTTTTTAACAATAAAAATCAATTTTAAAGAATAAAGTATGTATCATTTGCACTGACTATAGTGTTGCCTAATATTTTGGTTATAATGGTTAAATATTCTCAGTGATGTCATATGCACACAGAATCATTAAGTAATGCCAAATCCCACCCCACCCAAAGTAGTCCAGCAGATAAATTATGTGACCTTGAGCTCTGTAAAATAAAGATGCTAGAGTTATATTGTCTTATTTTCCAGGTGCATATGTGCTCCAGGTCAAGGCCACGGATGCAGATGACCCAACCTATGGAAACAGTGCTAGAGTCGTTTACAGCATTCTTCAGGGACAACCTTATTTCTCTATTGATCCCAAGACAGGTAAATTTTTTATTAGAGACAACATTACCACCATGCCTTCAAATATTTAAACTTTAATTCAATCTTGGCATGGGAAGTTGCCTATTCTAATATTGCAATAAAGTGTCCATGTGCTGCAATTAAGCAAAGAAAGATAGGATCTTACCTTGCTGCTACAGACTGTTTCCTTCAGATTGAACTTGGTATAAATATAAATCTTTTCATATATATGTGTCAAGTCCAAATTTGCTAGTTAGAATTCTCTGTATGATTTAATTAAAATTTTCAGAAGTCCAGGCTTATTTGTTTTTGTTTTTATGTTTTTATTCTTCTAGCTAAAAAAACCTTTTATTTCAGGTTTTCTTGATTGGGTTGAATTATGTTCAGTGTGGGGCCTTGTTGACTTGTGGTAAGATCATGGAGCTTCTACTGCTATCTTTATCAATGGTTATAGATGATGGATTTGCATTAATATAGTCTTATGCTTCTAGCAGGGGAAAAGAAAGGGTTGACAAACTGAAACACCAAGATTACTAATTTTTCTGGTTTTTGTTTTTTAAACTAGTCTCATTTTTAAAGGCAAGGGGAGGTGGGGGAAGAGATAAACCAAAGAACTTATATGCATATATGCATAGCCAGTGGAGGAAGGTGTCAACAGGGGAAAAAGGAGAAACATCTGTAACAAAAATTAATTAATAAAAAATAAAATAAACAAAAAGCAGTCTCATTTTTAAGTCAAGCCATTTACATTGCAGTTTTCAAAATCAAATATATAAGAATCTATGTGAAGTCTAGAAAGGGCAGGGAGATTTTGTATTCATGTTTTTGGACGCTGGATAGTTTTTAAGGAGAATCATTCTGACCAGTGATCAAAGTAGGTGTTCTATGTCACAGCTAAAGCAGAAGCTCTACAATGACAGCTATTTTATCATCTTTTATGTAGTACATTATAATAAACTGTACATTGCATTTAGTACTGCTTATTACATAGCTTAAAATAATATAAGAAATTGTTAATGTACTGAAAAAAAAAAGGTATTATTTAAATTTGTAAATAAATCTAGAGAGCCACATCGATTTGAAAGGTATGCATTCCAGACACGATACATGCAAATAGGCTAAACAATTCCAAATGTACACTTTCTAAAAGTGTGTGCTAAGATCTGGAATACCAATTAGATACAGGTTAATAAGATTAATCCTCTATTAACGTTGCATAGAAACATAAAGTCAAGTAAGTGAAAAATAGAGAAACTGCAAACTTTCTGTCAGTGGAACCTACCTTTCTTTCCTTACTTCTTACTGTCCTCATCAAGCCCATACAGGACACAAGCACCAAAAGTTAAGGAAATAAGGCAGGGAGTCACTCCCTTTCGTAAACCTAAAACAGAGTAGATTGTAATGACAGCACCAGGACTTTAAGATGGGAACATCCGTGCTGAAGAGAATCCAAAAAGTGGCAAAACAAAGAAGCTCTTTTGTTTGGAAACAGGGTCAGAGTCAAAAGCCAGAGTGTCATATTGACAAAGTGTGAGTGTGTGATGGGAAAAATTACAGCTACAATATAAATTGTTTTCAAGAAGTATGACATTGAAGATAAGACGTTTGTCAGTATTGGTGTTAAAGAAGTTTTGTGGCTGTTGCTGAAAAGTGGAAAAGATATATATACTTGTAGTGAAAAGAGAAATATTGTTCAGGAAAGTGTTGGAGTTGTTTAATGAAGTTTATGATGGCGCAAAGTTCCAGAGGAATTAAGAAGGTTTGGACAATAGGAAAAATGTATAGACAAATAATAAAGTAAAGTTATCCAAAATACTACACGTCCTTTTATCAGGTGGAAGCATGATGGGTTATTTTTTTTCTTACATAATGACTTATCTTTTCCAAGTGTACCATAATAAGTAATCTAATAGGAGTAGAAGTGTGAGCAATACAGATCTCTTAGATCTCTTCAGCTCTAAGAAGCACATCTCAGAGACAGGGGATGGAGCAAAGAAAAAGGAGGTGTGTAGAGATTAGAGAAGAGGGAGGTTCAGCATTAGAGTGCAGTTACTGTGCAGGGATTAACTCTATAGAGTGAGTGAGTTTATGTACTCAGATTAAATGTGGGAGTGGAAAGATAGAGGATTCGCCATTGGTGAAATAACTATAGAGGGAGCCAATTTCTACATTTAAATAAAACACAAGATAAAGTCATACAAAGGTGAACTTAAGCAGAAAGCATGGGTGAAGCATGTAATTGTTTTAGTCAAATTAATGCTAAACAGACAATTATGAGTCAAACACTTGCTCTCCCCTTGACTTTACTTGTTAATTATCAGTTTTAGATTAATTCTAATGCCTTTAGCAAGTATTATATCACAGAAAGGCATTCTATTTATGATATGACTTTTATAATTGTGTATTTATATTTTGTATATAATGCTTATTATTTAGAACGAAAGGTGAAGAAATTCTGGCATAAACTATCTAATAGATTTTTTTGAAGCATTGATTTTCACTGGAGACAGAAGTCTTGATGCTAACAATACCTCAGACCACTAGACAGGAAAAGAGAAGATGATAAAACACTTCATTAATAGAATGATAACTAGTTATTCATGCACAGAAACCATTAAGAAGACTTCTTGTCAAATTTATCACCTTGTGGTTAATAAGAGTAAATAAAAAATCAAGGATAATTGCAATTTCTCAGAAATAGTCTCCATTTGTTCCAGCCATATAGTTTCCTTTTATGATTTCTTTTGCTGTTATTAAATAAAATGCATGAAAAACTAATATCTAAAATTTTCTACATTTAAGTGTAGGATGCAGTTAAAACATTTGTTAAAGAAAGAGTCTCATCAAAACTTCTGGTGCCTAAGTATTTATGAAGAAACAAATATAGCCATCTGTTTTTCATTTGAAATAAAAAATTTAAAAAAAAAAGATGTCTTTATTATCACTGATGTCTGACAAACATTCCTAGCACCTCAATTAAAGTGATTTTTGGCAAGCATTTATAGAAATGATATACATTGATATATTCTATGAAATAAGCTCAGAAACAATAATTTTATTTAAAATTGGCAAATTTGGTAATTGTTTGGTTTAACTCTAAAATAATTTACTTAAATAATTAAAATTCCAACAAATTCATGTATTCCTCAAATGATCATAAAATAATAGTTTTAAAACTCACAAATATAGATAAACTTATAAAACATTGAATAACATTTATATTTATAATTAATGTTTATTACATATTTGTTATACTGGCATGCTATATTATTATATTACATATATTTTTACACTAAAAATTTAATTAGAAAAACATTCTAAAAAACATCCAACAATAGACATTGTAATATTTTACACAGTATATAGAATTAATAATAGAATTATTTCACTGAAGAAAACAAATATTACTTTGAATGATTTACCCCATGTCTTAACTTATATTTAAAATTACTTATTTTTTTCGCTAATGATTTCAAAAACTAGTCTGAGTTGGGTAACTAGATATTGCTATTATGTGTATCCTGTGGCGATATGTTATATTTTTCTAAATTATCTGAGCCCTACTTGAGAGAGCTTTATGGTATTATTTATCTAAAGATAATTTTTATTAATTTATTTTTGTTTCAGACGCTTCTCATTCTGTAATTTAAACATTTTATTGTGGTTAACTATACATAATAAACTTACCATTTTAGACATTGCAAGTGTATGATTCAAAGGCATTGAGCACAGTTTTGTGCAAAATTTTCACCACTGCCTCCAGCACTTTTTACAATATCATGTTCATTGTCAAAAACAATGTGTATTTATGAGTTTTTATTGTATGTATTTAACATGAATGTTTAGAATTCACGTGAAGACAAGTAGGTGAGAATGGAGTTGTATGCATCAGATACTGCTTTTCTCCTTTTATTCACACTTCTGATATTTCGTGCTCTGAGATCCTGTCCTAGCTTCTATTTAGGGAAATCTGATATAAGTGCTGAGAAAACTGAATCTTTCTCAATATTTTTGCTTTGTAAATTTGAGTATCACCTTCTATTCTGAGATTACAATCTTCAAGCCTGTGTGCTAAAGGAAGCCTCCTGCCGTATTCCTAACTGATAATTATTTTTTCAAGACTTTACAAATATGTTGGTGATTTGAACCCCATATTAAAACTAAAGCATTGATCCGACTTTATATTTTTAGCTAAACTTTATTGTAACTATAGAAATACTTAATGGTTTATAATTTCAAAATAATTTTGACATTAATTCAGAGTTAAGTCTTACAGGATTCAGACAGATCAGTTCGTGCTGGAGAGAGAGATAACTTCTATTTTTTTCCTTCAAGGGTCTAAAAAGGGTATTTGCCAGTCACTATAAATTTTTTTTTTGCATTTATACAAGGACTGATATGAACTTAACAAGAGTAAGGAAAACAATAGATGCTAATAAATATAAGGAAGGAACATGTGTTTGGGGTATAGACAAGTATTATGATTAAACAACACGCACCCTATTTTATAATCTTTTACAGATCCTTAGTAGAACTACATGACTAAAAATGTACTGCAGACAATGGTTCCCTTGCATTCTGCATTGCCACAGTTTATGAGAACTGTATGTGTACTTCACTTGCTTTATTTTAAAAATCATGGAATGTAACATTGGCAGTCAGAACTAGAACTAAGAACAGTTGACCTTGAAAGGAAATGCTCCGCAGGGATGTGATACATGCCTTTCGTAGTTGTAGAGTTGTCAGGTACAAGGAGAACTACATGTATTCTGTGCTGCTGGGGAAAGTGGCTATCAATGACTGGTACAAGTTCCAGGAAGAGATTTTCATTTTATATAAAGAACGATGTTAATACTTGTCCATAAATAAGAGTAGTGCTTTAAATTACAGGAAACGCTAAAGCAGATGATTAGCAATGAGCTAGTGTTTCACTGCAAATGGCAGGATTTCCTTTATTCTTATGACTGAGTAACATTCCAATCTGTTTTGTCCAATCATGAGCTGATGGCTATTGTGAATAATGCTGCAATGAACATGGAGGTATAAATATTTCCATGAGTTTCTGTTTTTATTTTCTATGGATATATGTCCAGATGTAGGATTGCTGGATCATAAGGTAGTTCTAATTTTAGTTTTATGAGGAACCTCCATACTGTTTTCCATTGTGTCTGCACCAATTTATATTCCCACCCACAATGTACAAGGGTTGCCTTTTCTCTACCTCCTTCCAACACTTATTATCTCTTGCCTTTATGATGACAGCCATTCTTACAAGTGTGATACCTTATTGTGGTTTTGATTTGCATTTCCCTGATGATTATTGATCTTGAGCACCTTTTAATGTACCTGTTGGCTATTTGTGTAACTCCTTTGAAAAAAATGTTTATTCAGTTCCTCTGATCATTTTTTAAAAAGATTTCTTTGTTTGTTATTGAGTTGTATGAGTATTTTATATTTTGGATATTAATCCTTTATGAAATATATGCTGTGCAAATATTTTCTCCCATTCCATAGATTGCCTTTTAATTTTGTTGACATTTCTTTTTTGCTGTGCAGAAGCCTTTTAGTTTGATATAGTTCTGTTTGTTGATTTTCAAGCTGCTTCCTAAAAGGTTTATTTATGTTTGAAAAGCACTAGGACTTTTTTCCCCTACTGTGGTCTTATTTTACACTGCCCTTCCCCAGAGCAGCCTGCCGTGACCACCTGGGTTCTTCCTGGATGCTCGAAGGATGGTGCTCTTCGGCTCCCCCTCCCTGGGACATCATCCTACCTTGTGTTCTCTCCAGGTCTGCTTTCTCCTCTTCTCTGAGAATGCAGCTCCACGCTTTTACTGAGAGTAGTTTTTTGACACCACTTTTAATGGCACTTGATTTCTTTTTCCTCGTAGCACTAATCATCATCTGAAATTAGCTTAATCATTTAAGTACTTCTTTATGGCCTCCTCACCACTCCATGTGAGCACAAAGCCATTAGATACACATTCCATACAAGAATCTTACGCAGAGACTGTATTAATCATTATCCCAGATGGAAACAGATGGCACTCCGTTGAGCAATTTGAGATTCATTTAATAAGAGGGCTCTTTATTAAAGTGTGAGCAGACTATAGGGAAGCCTGGGAGTAGGGCAGGATCTGGAAGAGGAATACAAGGGACCACAGTTGCCACACTAGAGTTGAAGGAACAAAAAGGGCCTGGGACACATGCACCTGTGGGGAGACGAACCGTAACAGGAGATGTGGGGGGTTCCATGAAAGGAAAAGCCCAATATCATTCTCCTTATACTATCTAATCTCCTGCCAATTGGTAGAAGTCAGAAAGCAGATAGAAATCTAGAAAAGCATATAAAGTGGATCTGGAGGAGCGAATGCAAAAGAGTTCATTATTATACTTCAAACTTAGTGACAATGTCTGCATGAAATATATTTTAGTGTTGATTGAATCTAGTGTCCTATGTCTCAGTCTTATAATTCACCCTCCATTTAAGAAATAGCTGATATAAAACCATATCCTGGAATACCACATGCAATATTTTATTTATCAGATGTGCTATTGCATTATTTTTATTTAATTTATTATTAGCTTAGTTAACACATTTTTACCAAATAAGCTGAGATCCATCAAGATTGACTGTCTTGCATATAACATGGGGGTTGTTGCAGAGGGAAAATTTATGCCCTGGCAGACTAGCATCCCTTGTATATTATTTTGTTTATAATTCTCTCAGCCATATAATTCTATTCATTTTGGCATAAGTAAAATCTATTTTTCTCATTCTTATTTTTACTCTATCTTAATTATATATGTTGTAAAGTTCATCAGTTTTAAAACACTCAAATAGTATTATACTTGCCTATCTACTCTTTTTTCCCCAATAAATAAGATTTCAGAAATACATCAGATTAATTTAAGTTTGTGGTATTACTCTTATAAAATATTTATACTGTTCTATAAAATGCATTTTTTTTTTTTTTTTTGGCTTCAGCTACTATCATACAAGGTTGTCCCTGTATCTTTATATACAAATTCTGAAAAATAGAGATGGACACATGAACTTAGACCTAGTACCTGACATAGCAGAATGTAACATTTCCCCCTGGCCAGTTTGGCTCAGAGGTTAGAGCGCTGGCCCACAAACCCAAGAGTCTTGGTTTCAATTCCAGTGAAGGGCATGTACCTCGATTATGGTTCAGTTCCCAACCCTGGTAGGGGTCATGTGGGAGGCAACCAATCAATGTGACATGTCAATGTTTCTTTCTTTCTCTCCCCCTCCCACTCTATCTGAAGACAAATGGAAAAATATCCTAGGGTGAGGATTAAAAAAGAAAGTAGCATTTTTTTTCTGCTGGTTACATTTTTATTATCACTTAAGCGCAGTACCTGACAAGGATCCTCCTTGCTCAAGATCATCAAATGTACTTTTGTTTGTTTCATTTTAAATGTTAAGCAGTCAATCAAAAACATGTACCCATAAGAAAAGTAGGTTCTACTTTTGTTTAAATGTTTTTATTGATTTTTTAGAAAGAAACATCTAAGTGAGAGAGAAACATTGATTGGCTGCCTCCTGCATGCCCCGAGCCCACAACCCAGGCACTTGACCTGACTGGGAATCCACCTGGGACCTCTCAGTCCATGGGACATTGCTCAATCCACTGAGTCACACCGGCTGAGCGAAGAGCAATTTTTTGGAAAGTAGATTTGTTTTCCCTCAGGCTTATTCAGTAGACTACAATGTTCTAAGATTCTCTTCTCATGTCGAACTTGGTCTGATCCTCCAGTTCAACTCTAAACATTGAAAGTCTACAAATGCCATATAGTATTTTCCAGGACAGGGGTTTTAAGAAGAAATGGTATTGAGGAAGCAGAAGCATGTCCTACTCATCAGTGGGGATTTTCTTTGAAACCAAATGAACGGCCCTGTTTGCTCCTCAGATAGAGCAGCACTACACTGGAAGGGGGTAGAAGAGCAGAAAGGTCACTTACCAGACTCAAGATGAAGCAGGAGGGCAGGACAGTTTGAGGTTCTGATAACAAGTTTCCAGAAATAAAAATCTATTCTGATATTTTCTATTTGCTCTCTTTTTTATAGCAGCTTCATAGATGTGTGTGTATATATTACTCATGTACACATTTTTATATTGAAAATAGTCATATTAGAAATAAATGGAATAAATATTACTTATATACATTTTCCAGATTGAAAATGAACTGAGGAAAGACAGATCTGGTCAACAATAGGACAGTGCAACATGCATATGAATTAAACCCAAAAGTTTATCTAGAAAATATAAACATCGTAAGGGAGGCAAAAGTCACATAGCTTAAGGCATGTAAGACCAGGCCACTGAGATGCAGAGATGAAGAATTGTAGTTAAGAGACTTGGGAGTGAAGCATTAGCAATCTGAGCTTAAGAGAGACAACAGATGGAAATGAAAAGGTGTCAGTGCCATGGCGTGAAGAAAGGGTGGTAAGAAAAAATAGAGCTTGCCTTTTGTGCAACTACTTCCTTCCAAGGGTTAGAAGAAATCTTAGATTGTAGTTAAATTTGAATTATCAACAAAACAGCATTTGGTAAATCCATAGTGGAAAGAAAAGATAAAATGAGGATTGATATTCAGTTTATGATTTAAATGTTATAGCTTTTGTCTGGCAGTTGATATTGTCTTTGTTCCTTATATGTGCTACTTTATTTAAGAAACAACACTATCAAAGACACATGGATTTAAGACAAATCTTCTGCAATCTTTTGCTAACATTCTTAGCTATAGATTGGAACTTGGAATAAAAGTTATTTATAATGTTATTTTCAACAAATCCAGAAGCTTTTAGTTATTTCACTATGAATACATATAAATATAAATTAATTCTACAGTTGGGCATGGAGCAGAAAATGAATTGGGTATATAAATATGCATATATACTATATGATTCGTGATTATAAATTTGATTATTGATGGATTTATTTATTTATTCATCCAGTCTTTCAACTAGTCAATGCGTCTGACTGAACCCCTTCTAAATGGCAGGCACTGTCCTACATGATGGAATAACTTGATGACAGAAGAGACAAGGTCTCTGCAATGGCAAAGTTTCATGAGATTTATGTAAAAAATTGTGGCTATAATAATTAAGAAAAATCCTGAAAGACAAAATAAAATATACAAAGGGCATACTAATGTATTTTAAAAAAATAAAGTAATATATCCTAAAAATTTAAGAATGAAGAAGAAAATGGCAGTCTTTAGAAATCTCTCACTCAGTGTAATCACTTAATTTTTTAGTACATATATTTTTATTCATACTGTTTAACATTTTCATTCTCTTTTAAAGATGTGGTTATTCTGTATAAATCACAACTGATCTGGTTGACTTAATTAATGATGCCCATCTTTTAGAGCTGATACAGTTATTCTTCTTTATCTATATTCCACAGTGCTGTATATTTCAGTATATGGCTGTTACCATAATATGTTTAATTATATCCTAATCATATTTTGGGTGTTTCACTCTTTAGAACACACATAATTTTTGTTGTTGTCTTTGCTAGTGAATCTAGGTAGAATCATTTTCTTGTTGAGGATTATTTTATTTTGGAAAATACATTTGTGATATTTATATTTTGTTACTTTTTTTCCCCTTAAGGTGTTATTAGAACAGCTTTGCCAAACATGGACAGGGAAGTCAAAGAACAATACCAAGTCCTCATCCAAGCCAAGGACATGGGCGGACAACTGGGAGGGTTAGCCGGAACGACAATAGTCAACATCACCCTCACCGATGTCAATGACAATCCACCTCGATTCCCCAAAAGTACGTTCTTTCCCATTAAGTCTAAATTACTGCAGTTTTTTTAATTTTTTTCTGACCTTTCATTGAATGGTACAGGAATTGCACTAATTTTCCAGAGACTTTTTGTCTTTACAAAGTAGAGAGTAATAGATGAAAATTAAATGAGTTCAGAATTTCAGTTTTCCATTAAATTCATGAACAATATGACTTTAATTGAAAATAATATAAATGAATCAAAAATTAACAAAGAAGTCGTGCTATTGATTTCTGTTAAAGTAAAATATTTACAATAGATAGGGATATTGCTCTAATTTATTATTAATTGAAAAAGTAATACACATGAAAGTTGCAATGTAATTTAGGATGTATTTAATGTGTATTCCACCATATTTTTGCATAACATTTAATTACCTACGAAAATTCTGCGTTCTCTTTAGCAGTTATATGTGTTGAGTCATTCTTATATACTTTTGTGTATCACATGATATTAAAGTAATGCTATTTACTTTAGTTATATTTTATTTTAGTTTTGAAATGGATAAACACTGCTATAGTTTCTATAATAATAGAATGATTCACACATATATCTTCTTTGTAATTCAGTTTCTTATGAAAAATAAATACTTCTTACTTGTGTTTTATTTAGTTTTCTTTTGCATTATTACATTTAACAGTAATCAGTACCTGTTTGATTTCTGGTACATTTTGAAGGATTAGTTCAGTGTCCCTAGGACTTAGGAATGTTTCTATTGCTGATTAGACAAGGAACTTGAGTAAATCACTTGGTATTCATTTGCAGAAATGGTTTAAAAGAACAACACAAAATGATTTTCCTCCTCTGACCTCAGAAGGAAAATTTGAGTTCATCTAATAGAGTTGTATAACACAGAATACTTAACTAAATGGACATTTTATTCCTCTAGCTATATGGTTTTCCACATTTTACTACTTTGTTCTGTTTTTCCTAAATTTATTATCCATTTTCATGGAAATATCCTTACTTAGCGATCAGAAATTACAATTGCCAATGTTATGAGTGGCAATTAGGAATCATCACACTTTAACAAATGCAATATGTATGAAAAATGGCTAGGATATAATTTGTTATGGTTAATGGCATAAAGAGTCTTAGAGCAACTTTTCTCTGACTTTGTTATTAAGGAAAACAGAATAAATATATAATTAGATATTAAAAAGGAGAAAGAAACATGCATTTGATTATCTAGCACATGACAGTAATAAAGAATATGTTCCCAACCCAGCAAGCATTACTGTTGTGTTTTTTCTACTGTTTATATGTAAGAAGCTCTACTAGCTAACTGATGAAGATGGTTAGGGAGATTGCTCTGCTTTTATATAAAATGTGGCATTGTGAACTTGAGTCCTCTTTGGATTTTGTGCATATAAAACATGTTTAGATCAGAGTATAGAACACAGCAAAAATCTTCCTAAACAGCGTCAAGATTCTTATTTACAAGGATGATCAGGAGGTTTTACTCAGATGAAGAATATGAAACTCAGCCAATGGAAGGATGTAACTCTTGTTGGTATAAATGAAGACTGGTTCCTTAACATTTGAGCAGGGACCTAAACAAATAGGCTGGGGTGAAGGGAAATGAAAATGTCTCAGTGGGAGAGGAACAAGAGTATGCTTAGGAAACCAGGTTGCTGTGTTCAGGTCTCACTGAAACAGGAAGGTCACTTCCAGAATTTACCCAGTGAAAGAGAACTGGCGCAGTAAGCATGAATGAAAGGTTCCTCTTTAGGTTCCAGTGTAACTGTATGAAACCCACTAGGGAAGATCATGGAGTGTAAGGGCATTGGGACATGTAGAACATTTACATGCTGTAAACGCAGTAAACATCTATCACTTAGTTCCATTTACAGCAACATTTTAATATACAGATTTTCCATATTTTACCATTAAGAAAACTGAGGCTTGGAAAGATGAAAAAAACTTCTTTGAGAGATGTGACTGAGGTTTGTTTGTTTTTTTAATCTGAAGCTCAAATTCCTTCTAGTTTGACGTAATATGAAAATCAAAAGGTTAATCTTTTTTTTTACCTATAACTCTAAAACCATTTTCTTTAGAACACAGCTACAAAAGAGTCACATGACATATGTTGAATTATCACCACAAACAGAAACAAGAGAGGGCAGAAGAAATATACCAAATAGATCACTGTGATCAATTATTTTCTGCGTGTGTTACATGCATATTTGAACTATAGTCTGAACTTTAGCAGGTGAAAGATATTTTTAAATCATGAGAAGAAAGGGAGCTTTCATATTTTGCATGAATAAAAAATTAATTCCCTTGAAATGTACATGCCTTTGTGTCAAGCCCTTTTTACTGTACTGTCATTTTGAATTACATCCTTTAGAGGAAAAGACAGAATCCATTTATAAACAGAAAGCCATCTCTTTAGAAGCCAATGCTCTTTTTGCTGAAATATTTCTCATGAGGAGCAATTAAGCTGCATATATGACATAAAATTACAAACTGAAATAATAGCCTTTTGAATGTAAAAGTCAAGGTAACATATATTCCATTGATAAATAATAACTAGTTATATTTGTTCATGCCTGTTAAGCAATTATGCTGGAAAAAAATCTTCCTTCCAAGGAACTTTGCAGGTTACATTTTCCATTGCTTAAAATGCACAAGATAATTTCTTAAATTTTACTAATCATATTTTTAGATTTGTATGTGTATATTGCTAAACACCCATTACATTGATTTTTCTCTATAAAAAGACAAAAAATGAATAACATATGCATTTGTAACATGCAAATACAGTTTGCTATTTCATTGTTACAAAATAGATGTTAGTATAGTATTAGCTCAATTTTAGAAATAAAATAGCAAGGCTATATTATTAAAGAATCTTAAGTAACCCCCCCAAGATCACACGGCAGCTAGGTAAGAGAACCAAGGCCTAACTTTATGCAGGGACTTCTGAACTCTGATTTTTTAACACTCTCCTTCTTAGAAGGCAATTTGCTTATGAGCTCTGTGTTTAGCCCCCCAAAATCCTGCATATAATCCAGAAAAATGCCCACAAAAAAGGTAGTAGTACTGTTTCATAAGTATAAATAGCTCTCCCTGCAGTCATATAAAGGCAAAATATTTTCCATAGACTTATAAAGCTACCATCTACTCCAACCAAAGATCTGTATCAGATCTCCATCTGTTAAAATAAGCTACAGAAACATGCTGATTGTTTCCATTACTTGAATTTTAAATGACAAAACTATCTAACAAACTGATCTAAATTATGCATTATGAGATCAAATCAATTAAGTGATGTGGTTAATTCACATAAAGTAAAATATTCATACTTTTCCCACTTGGTCTTTTTCTGCTGTATAATAATTTTATAATGACTATAAAACAACTTAAGTGAAATGAAGCACTTCATGTACAATTTTGGATGAAAGGAGATAATTTATCGGAAATGTAAAGAAGTGCTTACTTCATATTTCTTCCTTTTTTGATGCAATAATAGAGTAAGAAAACTGGTTTTTGGGTTTTGTTTGTTTGTTTGTTTTGGTTAATGAGTTCAAATGTAGAAAACAGGACATTAATATTTGTTCTACGAGATTTTCCTGGTCATAAATAAAACAATATTTTAAAGTAGGTCCATTTTAACCAAATGCCTATCAACATGCTTTTATTAACTGTTTCTAGCTATATGAATGTTGATTTAATTTTACTTTAGCCTGAATAGAACACAGTTGTAGGATTAAACTAATCTACAAAGTCTCTATTTGCTTGATACTCACCAAATTATTACCATTGAAGTAAAAAAAAAAAAAATCCTTTCTTATATAAAGTTTTAGTCCTATTCTGTCAAAGTATATATTAGGAAAATTTTAAGCTTAAGTGATTTCCACCTTATTTAGACTGATATCCACTGGTTTTATTCTAAATAATTTTATAGTAAAGGTATTATGACTTATGTGCCTTATAATAATAATAACACAATTTTAAGTAAATTTACCCAGATTAAAATATATATATACTCTCCTTTAGACAGTTTGACTTAATGGTTAGAGCATTGGCTCACAAACCACAGGATCATGGGTTTGATTCCTGATCAAGGGCAGGTACCTGGGTTGCAGGTTCAATCTCCGGCCTGGTGTGGGTCATATGGGAGGCAATCAATCGATGTGTCTCTTTTACATCAGTTCCTCCCCCCACCCTTGGGTGATTATTATATTATATTATATATATATTTACTTTTATTGTTAATATAATTTCCTTAGTTTTCTTGAAAAGCTTATGTATTATCTTTGCTGTCTATGAAAATCACATTATAGTCAATTAAAAGTCTCTGCAACTTTTATATAAGATATTATACATACAAGGAAAACTATAAGACACATATCTACATGTATAAATATATTACAACCACAATAAAACTCCAAAATACTAATATGATCAAAATAAGTATGGTCATAGATAGGATATGGTAATTAGATCTAAATATTAAGAAAATATTTATGAAGAACATAGCATTTGAGAAGAATATACAGTAAGACTATAACAGCATGTAAAGAATGTGAGTTATAGATTGTCACAATTCTAAAATATAGATGTATATTTGTGTATCTCTGTGTTTTTGTGTAGAGGGTCACTATCGTATATCGGTATGTCAGAAAAGTAACTTTAATAACTTGGTAAAGTCTGAAGTAGGATGTAGACATGGCCCAACCCAGGGCGATTGTTTGGAATAGATACGTAGAGGCAGAGGTGAGAGATGTTTCAATAGCAGGATAGAAAAAACTTTGCTATATTTGGGATTCAGAGAAATGTAAGATAAAGCGCATGTGAAGAAATAATTTAAATAGAAAGGTGGTTTATCTGTTGATGTGTTGAAATCTGAGTAGAGATGAACAGGAGAGGGATCCTCAAAGAGAAGGCAGAGTCAAAGAAACATTTCAGACAGACAACAACTTAGAAGTGACAAATGAAGTCTGATGCATGGGTAAAATTAGATTAAAGAAGATATTACTCT